TCAAGGTGTTTGATGCAGTAGTACTGATCAGGTATGTTAAGAAAGTCATATCCTTCCAATTCTCCCATTGGTATGACATCAAATTTATTTTTAAAGGCCAGAGATTGTTCATCTGTATATATTTGCTGTCTAGGATTGTGCAGAAATTGGATTATATAGGGGCGAATAGAAGGACTGTGTAAAAGGCATGCTAAACCCCTTTCATAAAACCCATGCAGTCTGATGAATAAGTTATTTTGCGATTCTCCGTAGATTTTACTCAGGAACATGTTATTTTCTGGAATGAAAAGATTAGGACAAATTCCTTCATAAACACATTTCATTATAAATTTGAAACAAATCCAAAATTCTTCCAATATTAAATTTTTAGGACACCAGTTACGAACTGTGTTTTCCTGAAGCACCCAGAAAACCGCTGTCTTCAAGTGATAGGAAGACAGTAATTTTTCTTCTTCGCTCAATCCATTGTTAATTACTTCTTTTAGAAATATTTTAAGTAGGCCATACTTAAAGCAATATGAGCTGCATGTTTGACATCGGAAAAAAATATTTCAAATTTGTTATTTACTATTTCAATGACAGGAATATAGAACATTTAAAAACTTCTTTTGTTGATATTTGCTATGGATGAACTTTTTATAAGCTTTAATAGAAGCAAAACTGAATTATTGTCGTCCTGTACAGTAATGATTTCTTATATGATACTGTATATTCGGTTGTACAGTAATATTTCTTCTTAAACATTTTCAAACTTTATTTTGGTCTCATTGAGCATAATGGTTTAGATTACATACAGATTAGTCATAATAACACATTTTACTAGCAAAATAAAATTCTCAAAAATGCAGCTCATATTGCTTTAAAAACTGACAGTGATTCATGGAGAACACGAGTTTCTGTTCTGCAAGAGAAAAAGAGATTCTCCATTCTTTATCTTCATAATTACCAAGTTGGTGTCCTATGGCAACAACGTGGCATCCACCTCTGACTATGTCATTTATAATATGAGTTGGGGGACACGTTTGACATCGGTCCATCCACGACGAGGCTGATGGAGGCCAAAAGTCACAGATAAAACCATGTGCAGTGTCATATTCTATATCGTGTATATACCCGCTACCACAGGGCCGGTGCTCAACAGAATTCGGAAATATATCTGAAAGCGTGAGTCGTCTGTATGCAGAGCTAGATATATAGGGTCTGTCCTTCATGCTGAAACACGCTGATTGTACACTTATCCTGTTGGTTCGTGTTAGTAACACAAGTAGTGAATACCTGGTGGACTTTCAGAAGAGTCGGAGAAAATCAATGTTTGTGTATTAAAGTTGTAATTTAGAGCTTGATACAAGTCCCAGATAACTTTTTTTCGGTTAGGCAACCATAACTGTGACAAATATAGTGACAGCGATATTACGAAGTTTTAACCGTATTACATGTACTTGAATACATTCTTTTTTTTTTTAGTGCATTGTGTTTTGATACGACCCCCTATTTCTGTCAGACGATGTGTATTGCCGCATACGTTATTTTCTTTGCTTTTCAAGATTTTAATGTTGTTATGATGTTAAATTAACTGTTACCTATAGTTTCCTATATTGTATACATGATCACATAATTAAAACGGTGTTTGTTTAGCGATTATTCGGTAAATTGTTACCTGGTATGTTTTCTCTTTCACCGCATGGTTTGTTATTGCGGAAGTGCGGTTTCCCATAATGCATTTTTCTTAAAATGTTAAAAGTTGTAAGCGGCGATTTATTTAATTAATTGTATGTCAATATTCTTTAATTATTACAAAAGTTATTTTGTTTATAATGTAGTTATTATATTTTACTTGTTTCTATTTTATGGTGAAACATGTACACAACTTTTTGTTGTCGTGGGAATAAGGTTATCGCGTATCGCCTGTGATTGGTTGATGATCAGGTGCGCGATGTTTCTGATTGGTTATCGTATTTTACGTCATTTCGTAGTATTTCATGACGTATATATAGTAAGAACGAGAGTTGCAGCGTACAGACAGCAGATTACACCACTCTATTAAAGGTGTGTGTTTAATTTCGTTTTTATTGGGTTAAATAATTTGATAGTATTAAGTGGTGTGGGGGAAACTTTATTCAGAGATTGAATAATATTTATTTACCAGTATATTACTGGTGTAGGTTTTCTTAAATTACTGGTTCATTTACCGGTTTAGGATTAAACTAATTAAACTTAGGATTTTAATAGGTCTAAGAGAGTTAGACTTGCATATGAATTATTTATTTACTGGATAAGATTCCAGTTATAGAGGTTTTTATAAGTTTGTGAAACACCGGAGATTTTGTGAAATGTTGAACAGTATTGTTTTGTTTCTGTATCCTGTAAAATAAATTTATAAACTTTCAATGGAGTTCTTGACTTGTTGAAGACAGTCCAGTTAGCATCCGCACGTTACAATTTTGGCATCCACGGCGGGATCTGTAAAATTTACAGATCCAGTGATTGAATTCTGTACCTCTAAAAAAAAAAGTTTTTAATGTACCTGTAATTTACAGGTTATTTGAAAAAAAAAAAACATTTGGTATACAATACTGTTTACTTGCATTATCTTGGTGTTTTATGTACAAGTTATTTTACTTGTTTACAAAGTAACTCTATGTCATGGGTTCTAAGAGAAAAGCTCGTAGTCGCGCGGCAAGAAGAAGTCGAGATATGGATTCTCCTGTAAGCAGACACGTAGAAGAGGATGTTCTGGTGGGTAGAGACTACAACTCTGACGCATCTCAATCTGTCCAGTCTGAAAAAGAGGAAAGAAAACTGAGTGAAACACCTGCTAATAACACAAACATTAGCACAAGAAAGACAAGTTCTACTCCACACACAAATGTAGAGTCTGAAATATTTGCAACTAATGCAGGTAAATTACCTGTTGCAGATCATACATGTTTAGTACATGTTACAAACAATACCCTTTTGCAACACAATTCAGGTGATGTACCTGTAACATCCAGAAGCTCGTTTACACCCGTAAGTTTTACTGATGTAATCCAGGTACCCAGCACACATAGTAGAGCTCCTACTCCTAGCTCTTTGACAAATGTATATAAGGGTAACAACTCAGTGCACTCTCTATTTTCACATGAAGTAAGTGCTAGGCCACCATTATTTTTGTCGGGTACTCAAGGTCACGTAGCTTCACCTTTTGTAAGCTTAAGTAACCCACTGCCAGAGTATTTGCAAAATTGCAACACGGGTTACTTGACAACACTCTCAACTGCACACTCTGTACCTCGCAATCATAGTCCTTCAATGACCAGCAGTACTTTCATGCATTGTCAAGAGCCACTGCACACAGTTGAGTCAGGGCATGCACCAACTATTTCAAAACCTTATTTTTATGTTGGCACATTAAGACCAGTCAATACAATGTCCAGTACACACAATACAGGTTATGTACCTGTCATATCTCATACTGGTCAGTTTTTACCAGTTTCCTCATCAGCAAATACTTTACCTGCTGCTTGTACAGGTCATATTCCTGTTCCTACTTCTTTAGGTAATATACCTATTGTTTCAAGTATGGGTTTCCCATCTAATTACCCATCGTCTTACAAGGTTCAAAACACCTCTACCACAAGCTGTGCCTTTGGAAGAAGTCAAAGTGGTGCTCGAAACAACAACACCAGTCATCATTTTCAAAACTATCAGGCGCCACCTAATGATGCTCCATTGCAGATCCATAATGACAATGTGTCGCTAACCTCAAACATTGCCCAGCTAATTCAGGCCGAGGTGGAAAAAGCAGTACAGACACTGTCAGCCAAAATGCAGCATGCTAGGCCAGCGACCAACAAACTTCAGTATGAAGACAATTCTGACTCAGACCTGGAAGATACAGAGTCTAGTGATGCTAGATCTTCAGTCGTCTTTCATGAAACCAAATCCAGAGATTCCAGAGTAAAGTTACCTCCCTTTAATGGCAAAGAAGATTGGAAAATTTGGTACGCAAGATTTGAGGAGATCGCAGAAAGGAAGAGATGGAGTGAAAAACGAAAACTTGACGAGTTATTGCCACGTTTCCATGGGGTAGCAGCAGAATTTGTTTATGGCCAACTAACCAAATCTACTCGTAGAAACTATAGGAGACTGACAGAGGAATTAAACAACAGATTTCGGGTTGTTGAAACGAGAAAGACCTTTATATCCAAGTTTAGTAACCGGCAACAAAAACCTGGAGAAAGAGTGGAGGATTACGCTGCTGAATTAAAACGGTTGTATGACAAAGCTCACCCCAAGAGAAACTCCGAGACGCGAGAAGAAGATCTGTTACGAAGATTCTTAGATGGTTTAGCAGACAGCGATGCCCAGTTTCATGTCGAATATGTCAAAGAACCTGAGAATATAGACGAGGCCGTCCTACAAGTAGTAAATTTTGAAGAGACTGGTCGAGCACAGAAAAACAAGCACAAAGCTGTGAGACAAATCAAAGTACAGAAAACTGAAGCCAGAAGTGAGGCCTTTAAGAAGTTTCCAAAGGGAAGTCAGACCAAAAGTACAGCAAAACAGACAGAAGAACAACAAAGAAACAATGACTTAGAAGTACAGTTGCAAAAGTTAAGCAAGGAGTTAGAGTTTTACAAGCAGAAATATGGCACAAAAAAGGAGACTGAAATTTTAGCCGATAACAGGACCAACGAACTACAGCAAGTGACAAACCACATGAAAATTGAAAATGGTGACAAAAGAATACCTACTATTGTCTGTTACTACTGTAAACAAAATGGACACTATGCAAGGGAATGTCCCCTGAAAATACCGCACAACCAGACTCAACAGCCCTTTGTTGGACCCCATCCTTTAAATGGCCATTTGCCATTTCTGAGGGTCGAGGGATGGCTACAAAGATTACTACTGAGGACCGACAGACGGACAGTAGAGACTCTACAAAAGAAGAAAAACTAGATTCAACTACAAAATTAAACAGATTACCAAATACAACAGGAATTTATCTAGAGGGAATGGTGAATGGGTATTTTGTTCATTTTACTACAGATACTGGAGCTTCCACCAGTATTCTGTCTCACAGAGTATACAAGAAATTAAAGGATGATAAAAAACCTTTGTTGATAGGAAATTCTCAACTCCGAGGTGCAGGTGGGGCAAATATACCTGTTTATGGGTATGGATCCTTTGAAATTCAAATTGGAGAAGTAAGAATAGAGAAACAACTCTTGATAGCAGAAATAGAAGATGATGCTCTTCTGGGAATGGACATTTTAATGGACAAAGAAAGTAAAGCCGAAATTCATCTGGACAGAAAAATTATAAAATTTTATGGACATGAAATTCCATGCATTTCAAATGATGATGAATCGAAATTGACTCTTAGATCAGCTGACCAATACACTATACCCCCTATGAGTGAAATGCTGATTCAGGCATTTGTTGAACGTAATAGTGAAGAAGATAAAGAGAAAATGTACCTTTTTGAATCTTCACCAGAATTTACAGCTAAATCTTCATTGCTTGTGGCGCCAGCAGCGATTGATATTGTTAGAAAAGTTACAGTACCCTTGAGAATCATGAATCCTCTGGAAGAAACCAAAACATTGTACCAAGATACAGTTCTGGGAACTGCTGAGGTCTGTTTGGAGGTATCAAGATTGGGTTTACAGGTAGCTGAGGAAAACAATGTCAGAAGAGTAGCTGAAAATGGAGAGGGGTTGGAAGGTCAAACTGAAGAGGAATCTTTAGCACACTTGACAGATCTGTATGAGAGGTCTATAAGTAACTTGTCCAAAGAAGAGGCAAAAACCTTGAAAACCCTGCTAAAAAGTTATTCAGATGTCTTCTCCAAAAATGAATGGGATTTAGGCAGAACTCACCTCACAGAGCATGAAATAATAACTGAAAATCATCGTCCAATAAAACAGCCTCCACGTCGAGTGCCCTTGGCTTTGGCAGATGAAGAGAAAAATGCAATTCAGCAACTTCAAGACAAAGGAATCATTAGACCGTCTTTGTCTCCTTGGGCTTCTCCTTTAGTCCTAGTAAAAAAGAAGAATAAGATAACTTGTTATAATATTATTTCATTGTTAATTGGGAAATAAGATTATTATTGGGATGGGACCGGTGGACTTTGTGTATTTTTCATTGTAACAGTAACTTCGAGCATCTGTGGTTTATATTGCTTGAATTTGTATTTTATCATGTTACCATATGTAATAATTATAATGATAGTTTGATGTATGTACATTGTATATACTTGAGAGTGTCTATAGTAATAAGTTGAAGTACTTGAATGTATTTTGAGCAATGACTGTAACATCATTTTGATCGAGAATTCATATTTTACTTGGTGTCTTTGTGGAATCAGTTTCGTTGGAATTATTAATTTATTCATGAATCTAATTATCTCTTGAGACAGTAACTGAGAAATTGATCTGTGTACTTACCATTATTATTTTTCATGAGAGCTTCAGATTAGTAACATGAATTGTGTCCATCGGTATCCTCTGTTCTGAACTTCTGATTAACTCTGCGAATGCAAACAAGGAAGATTAAGAAATGTTACTTGAGTTATCACTTATAGTTATGCTTATGTACATTTGTTTCTAAATCATTAGCATTTATGTGCAGGTACAGATGCACATATTTATATGATGTTATATTTCCATACTTACCTTGTCATGTTTTCATGCATTGTTGTCATATTTCATATTTGCATTGTTGTTATAGAATCATCCTTCCATATAATGTTACATCACACTTTCATCTTGATTTGAGATCATCTTTTCATTCTTGCATTGTTGACATTTTTTTATTGTTGTAAAATAAGTCCAAAGGGACTTGGACAATTTTAACAGGGGGCAAATTGTGACAAATATAGTGACAGCGATATTACGAAGTTTTAACCGTATTACATGTACTTGAATACATTCTTTTTTTTTTAGTGCATTGTGTTTTGATACGACCCCCTATTTCTGTCAGACGATGTGTATTGCCGCATACGTTATTTTCTTTGCTTTTCAAGATTTTAATGTTGTTATGATGTTAAATTAACTGTTACCTATAGTTTCCTATATTGTATACATGATCACATAATTAAAACGGTGTTTGTTTAGCGATTATTCGGTAAATTGTTACCTGGTATGTTTTCTCTTTCGCCGCATGGTTTGTTATTCCGGAAGTGCGGTTTCCCATAATGCATTTTTCTTAAAATGTTAAAAGTTGTCAGCGGCGATTTATTTAATTAATTGTATGTCAATATTCTTTAATTATTACAAAAGTTATTTTGTTTATAATGTAGTTATTATATTTTACTTGTTTCTATTTTATGGTGAAACATGTACACAACTTTTTGTTGTCGTGGGAATAAGGTTATCGCGTATCGCCTGTGATTGGTTGATGATCAGGTGCGCGATGTTTCTGATTGGTTATAGTATTTTACGTCATTTCGTAGTATTTCATGACGTATATATAGTAAGAACGAGAGTTGCAGCGTACAGACAGCAGATTACACCACTCTATTAAAGGTGTGTGTTTAATTTCGTTTTTATTGGGTTAAATAATTTGATAGTATTAAGTGGTGTGGGGGAAACTTTATTCAGAGATTGAATAATATTTATTTACCAGTATATTACTGGTGTAGGTTTTCTTAAATTACTGGTTCATTTACCGGTTTAGGATTAAACTAATTAAACTTAGGATTTTAATAGGTCTAAGAGAGTTAGACTTGCATATGAATTATTTATTTACTGGATAAGATTCCAGTTATAGAGGTTTTTATAAGTTTGTGAAACACCGGAGATTTTGTGAAATGTTGAACAGTATTGTTTTGTTTCTGTATCCTGTAAAATAAATTTATAAACTTTCAATGGAGTTCTTGACTTGTTGAAGACAGTCCAGTTAGCATCCGCACGTTACAATAACATAAAGTCCATATCTGAGTCGCCGAGTCTGAACCCTTCTCTATGACTCCCACTAATCTTTTCACACATCTGAAAATCTGTTTCAAATTGCTTTTGCACCAAACTTGAAAGATCTACCACATCTCTTCTCAAGGCCACTTGCTGTGAGGTTCCCACTATATGAAACATCATAACCTGATGACACCGATAACACTGCAGAGGTGGATACATGTAAATAACACCCCTACTAATGTTATTGTGATTTAAATTCAAGACACGTGGTTTAGGTTTACCTATTCAAAGTTTATAATGGGGGTAGAACCTGTTTTATATATAAAATTGGCAGGAATTTGCTATAGTCTGTTTATTTTGAAACTTGTCCTATGTAAAATGTGTTTCCAGACCTTTCTGAAATACTTTCTGATTTTCAACAGAAATGGGTGGCTAGAAGGGGTGGGGGTGGTAGGTAAATAACAAGTGGTATATCTTATCATAGTTCACTGCAAAAATCATAGCTCATTAGCGACCAATATCATTGTTCAAATATTCAACTATTTTTCAAAGTGTTAATTGGAGGTCTTTGATAGCAAATTGCTTAATTAAAAACACATATCTTTTCAAACTTGCTTTGACTGAGCAACATAAAAAGTGTCATTTTTAACCATCTGCCTTCCTTCAATAAAGCGACTTGTTTAATCATTGATTGAAATTATAGAAAGTCATTTGTCTGAATAAACTGTGAAAAAGTTATTATATGCTACTGCAGAGGGATTCTAAAGATATACAATAAATTGTACAGTCATATGTCTAACTAGCACGACTGAGAAAACCATTTTTCGTCACAAGTGACCTACATAGTGACATCATTTTTACATTGTGGCGTCACAAACAAGGATCAAAACTTTATTCAGTATGTTATTTGTAGAACTTGTGTATGGCTATGTGTGTACCAAATTTTATTCTAATGTGAATTGTGGTTTTGTAGATATAGAGATAGTTCGCAAACTTTTGATCACCCCTCGTACGTACGTAGTTAGTGTCAAGTTCAGAACACCAGCACTTAAAGAGTGAGAAAACGAGCAGCTTTCACAATATCTTATAAATGTTGGCAAAATCTTGAAAAATCTTATCTATTTTTAAAAATAAATGTTAAAAAAACAATTTTAGAATAAAATTACACAAGAACTGTTGATTTTAACAACGTTTAGCATGAACATTAGCATCAACATCTGTCTTTTGAGTCACGTGACGTGTGCCCTGGCCCCTCTTTAGGTCAAGATCTAGTTAATGACTTTAGACTGGCTTTTTGTGCTAGATCCATTACGAAGTTATAGTTGATAAACGCTTAATTTTCCCCGTACGTTACAGTTGTGTAGAAATAATGTAGAACATTAAGCATTTTCATTGTATTCGATTTGAAATTGTGTCAAAAGTAACCCAATATCTATAATCAATTTATTATCATTTTGAAGTAGAGGATTAGAAAAAAAATCAACACCGTCTTTTGGCAATATTGCTACTTTCTTTTAACTGAAAATAAACCTAAATTCTTACTTGACTTTCTTAAAAATTACTGTTTAAAATGGTTTTTTTATCTAGTTTATCAAAAAAAAAAATATGTCCGGAAACACCGTATTACACTAAGCTATATTTTAAAGTGTCATTAAAAGAACTCGTTTCTCAAATTTGAAAAATCTGTAGTCACCTTTTCTTTACTAAATCTTGATCTTAGTTCAATGCCTATAAGCCTTTTCAACTGCAATGGTCTATGAAAACTTATCGATGCTAGACATAGTAATGTATCATAAATTAATATAACACATTATATACATATTCATATTATGATACAAACAAATTTTTTTTTTGAAAAAGATTTAATATCATGTCACAAGTTTAAAAATGTGGATTGTTCTTGGAATTTTTTTTACACAAGAACTGGAATATGAAAAAGATTTGGAAAATATTAGTAATATTTCAATGAAAAACAAAAATAGACAAATCACATTCAGTAAAGGTTTACAGGTGAAAACAATTTTCAGAATATGTTAACATGGTGAATAAAGTGTAATATAAACTGAATAAAAATATACCAAGCCAGGTGAATTTTATTAAGAAAAGCTAAATGGTAAAAATCAACCTATGTGATATTGCTAATTTTTTGTCATTTTGATCTTCCTCTTAAAATTCACCTGGCTTGGTATATTTTTCTAAGGTTTATATTACACTTTTAGCGCCAAGATAACATATTCTGAAATTTATTCTTACCTGTAAACCTTTACTGATTTGTCTATATTTGTTTTTTATTGAAATATTACTAATATTTTCCAAGTCTCTTTCATTTTCCAGGTCTTCGAAGTAAAAATTCTAAGAACCATCCACTTTCCTAAACTTGTGACATGATATTAAATCTTTTTCAAAGAAAAAATTTGTTTGTATCATCTGTCCTTAACTATTATTTTGCGTTGTCTACATTCTCTTTTTTCCATAAAATTCTTTTTCTACATATTGCATTTCTTGCCAAGTTTTTTCCTTTGTTTACCTCTCCAAGTATCCCAGTGCTACATGAAACAAGAGGCCCATGGGCCATATAACTCACCACATAACTCACCTTACCAGATTTTCTCCCTTGTAATCCCTTTTGTTGCCCTGTCCTTCCCCCCCCTCCCCCCGGATCACAATTTTAACAATTTAGAATCCAAAATACCACAGGATTAAGCTTTTCTGACTCAGTGGTTCTTGAAGAGATTTTTTCCATATTTTTCTTTGTAAAACATTGATTCCTTATTGTGGCCCCGCCCTAACCCGGGGGTCGCAATTTTAATAAATAAGAATTAATAATACCCCACCATGCTTTTACTTAAGTTTCAACTTTTCTGGTCCAGTGATTCTTGAAAATAATTTAATGACCAACGTCTTTTCTTGATTATATTCCCTTTCGGGGGGTCTTAGACCTATATTTTAACAATTTAAACTTCACCTAAGAATGCTATGCATCAAGATTGATTAAAATTGACACAGTGGTTCTTCAAAAGAAGTCAAAAAGGTGAAAAGTTAACAGACGGACGGACATACAGACAACTAGACAGCTAGACAGACGGACGGTCGATGGACAAAATGTGATCAGAAAAGCTCACTTGATTATTCGGCTCAGGTGAGCTAAAAATTTCGCCATGCTACATTTCATAAAAACGGGAAGTAACTCTAAACCTTAAACGGCGATTGGAGCTATATGCATTTTATCACAAAAGATAATACTAAACAAGATTAGTGAATAGTGATTGCCGTATGGCAACATAGCGAAGATTAAACTTTTCGTTAATGCAAATTTAATATATAGGTACCAAAAGTAGGGTATCATTACTGGAAATAAAATTGCAAAATATGAAAGTAGGCCAAGGTTAAAGTTTTGTCCATAATTACAGAAGTCTCTAAGGTTAAGGTCAAGGTAATTAGTATGCACAAAGAATGCCTATATAAGGTATGGAAGCACTAGCCTTTCAAAAGTTATGGCCAAGGTTAAAAATTTCAAAAAGAAGGTCAAATGTGAAGGTCAAAGGGCTAAAAGTCTTGATATCAAACGAAATGCCTTTTCAGAAGGATTATAAATGTAAAGTATGAAAGCATTAGCCCTAACCCTATAAAAGTTAGGGTCAAAGTTTGCTTTTTAAAAGTAGGTTAAGCTCCAAGGTCACGGTAAAAGGGTCAAAATTCTTGGTATCTAATGAAGGGTCTTCTCACAAGGATTACATATATGAAGTTTGAGAACATTATCCCTTATCATTCAAAAGGTCAAAGTTGATGATATCCAATTAAAGGTCTTACCACAAAGAATACATATATGAAGCATGCAAGTCCTGGAATCTACCGTTCAAAAGTTATGACCAAAGTAAAAGTTTGAACTTTTTGTGTAAAAGTTGATTAAACTCCAAGGTCAAAAGGACAAATTTGGTGATTCCCATGAAAGTTCTTGTCACAAGGAATACAGATGTGAAATATGAAAGTCATAGCTCCACTAAATCAAAAGTTATGGGCAAGGTTAAAGGTTTTTTGGGGACAAATAGACAGACAGTCAGACAAACAGACATTTAGCTAGACAGTCGGACGGACTCGAAAAAAGCTGTTTACCCCCCGAATCATATTACGGGGGTATGAGAATGTCAAGATCAAAGATCTCTATTTGTAGACAATGAGGTATTCTATATGACGTAAAACAGTGTTCACACCTAAAAAAAATAAAAGGAATAATTTTAAAAGCTTACGTTTGACATAATCGCTATTTGTATTCACAATCGATAGAGCAAATAAAGAGCTGTCGTTATCAACCACCATCACCGTACCTAGTTATAATAAAAAGAAAGACTGAAGATCCGACTATTTATTCTTCTTACATATATATAAAAATTTCATCCTTCAAGGTGATAGAGTTGAGAAACTAGTGCATGGGCTCGTAAGATGCTGAACGAACCGGAGTTGGGTTCAAGTGTTCTGCCATAGCACACATTGTAATAAAAAAGACTCAAGAGAAATACTAGTATTCAATTGTGACTGGTGACTTTATTGCTTTCTTTTACATCTCTTTGTAAAACATTAACATCTGCAATGAGCCAGTCATATTAGTTCTTACAACCAGTTAGTAAATCAATAATCTATATTTGTTATTAAACTGTGAAATCATAAATATTCATGGGGGTTAAATTTTCATTTTTTTGATAAATGAAGAGAATTTCTGTCAGCCACGAATTGCATCGCTTCACAAATATTACTACTGAACTATTCCTTAACCCTGAAATCAATTCCAGATGAACCAATATTTTTTTCCTAAAACCACGAAAATTTGACCCCTTGAAAATATGTGATTTAACAGTATGAAGGTTAAAATTTTCGAAATAAAAAGAATTAAAGATGTTTTTGCACTGTTATGAATAGCGCACTATACTTAAAATTAGGAAAGATAGGAAAAAAACTAGGTTTACGTTATGAATAAAATGAAAATAAAGTACATTCTAAAAGCAAAATTTCCTAATATACATATATATTGTACATATAAGGAAATTGTATTAGAAGTATATATATTGAAGGTAAATGCCAATAGGGTGCTATAAATATAGAATAGAACACATGTTTATACATATAGTAATGAATAAGACTGTTATTTTAACGTCAACATTTTAAATTTACATTAAGCTGATGTTTGAATGATTTTACAAAATAATACTCCTTGGCCCTGAGTAATTCTTCATTATCTTCCTAAATTAAATGGAAATATCGAAAAGTTTTCATTCGGTCATGACTCCAAATGTTCACTACAAGGCATAGTCATGACAGAGGAATTCCGTATTTGTTGCTTTTTGACTCTGATGCGGTCAGCTAGATTGTTACCGGTCTGTCAAATGTAGTTTTCCCAACATGAAGTACAAGTCATACACTGTACAGCATAAAAAGCTTTAGATTTGCATGATACCAGGTATATTGGCTTTAACGGTATGTTTTACAACATTTAAATGTAAACCTCTCCCCTGTTTTAAATAAGGACATCATATAGGGTGTCCATACATTTGGCTATTGTATGTTTGTCTGCATTTGACTAAAACCTGGCTCTGTAAGGAGTTTCTTCCCTTTGAGGGTTGGAGCCGGCCTTGGATAGTGTTCTTCGGGTCATTTATAATTCCTTTTAATTTGTAAAAGGGGAAAACACTGTTCTATAGAGTTTTATGTTTAACGACAAGTATGATTTCCTTATCGTTTGCCTGGGTCCCTAGTCTAGTATAACTCCGGATATCTGCAGTTTGTATTTACTTGGCCCTTGCAAGAAAGACGTCTAATAAAGATTGATGTTTTGTCTAAGTAAAAACGTTTTCAATTCCTATAGACAGACATTCTGGTTTCATCTATGACGATACTAAACACGTCTTGCCATATTGAAGGGTATGTAACGTATAACAACTAACGGATGGTAGAAAATAAATGCAAGGTTATGGTGGGAATGCGTTTTCTTGGAGTAAAAATCTGTTATGATTTTACGACTCTTCTTATATATAAGGATATCGAAAAAGGGTAGTTCTTATCCGCTCTTTTTTACAACGTAAATTGAAAAGATGGGTGCAGATTTTTGAGAATAGTATGAAATTCTTGCAAATTTTCCTTTACTGTGTTACAGAAAAATGAAATAATCGTCTAAATATCGCTTCCAGTTAAAGAGTATGTATTGGCCAAACTGATTTCCAAACGGCGAAAGCGCTAAGTGAATAAATTAAACCTGAACTTCATTTTTTTTTATTTATGTTAAAAATATACGTGTGTGTTTTTCTTTTTTTTAGATAACTATCCTAAGAAATTGACCTTTTTGCGGGTAATATTTCTAGTTCTTTTTTCCCATGCTTCTATCTCTAGTTCTGTTCCACTAAAGTTGAGGCAAACTGAAATTGTACCGTCTTCTCCAGGATTTCTCGGCTTCACATCAAGCTTCATGACACCAACTAAGTGGCAAGATGGGTCGTTGACATATTTTGGATATTTCTCTGTGGATGCATAAAGCTCTAGAATTATTACCACTTGGTCATTGTCAAGTGGATGATAATCTTTAGGTTGTTGAAATTTTCCGACTTCTAGCATTTCCCCTATTTCAACATGTTTATCAAAGACATCATCTATGTAATATCGATTACCGAAGCACGTTTTTCTCCTTGTTTCGTCATCTTTGCCATCAATAAAGGGTTTTTGTTTGGCGAAGCCATAAGTGTATTGACAAATTCTTGATCGAATTATTGTTGGGTTGAGTCCAAACTTCACAGCTCCCTTCAAGACTGCGAGAGATGGGTCCTCTGGTACAAGAACCTTTGAATAACTAAAATGCTCTCTGAGCATTTTAATAAGATAGGGTGATTCTGCAAGACCACCAACAAACAGTATAGTATCTGTATTGCCCCCATGTTCTAAAATTGTTTCAATACAATTTTTGATTTTCCCTAGAGAGCCTTCGAAAAAAGACTTAAAGATTTTCTCTTTTATGTACAATTTATCGTTCTTGATTTCTACGTCTTCTCCATAGCAGAGAGGGTTTATTCTTTCCTGAAAGTCATGATCTTTTGATTTCGTGTATTCTTCCACAAATAAAAAGGGAAAACCGATGACAACTCTATCGTGATCATTATGTTCTCCAATGGTTCTCTTTTTGCGTTCAAAATTTGTAAGCATTTCAAACCAACAAGATGGATGTTTTTGTTTTACCGCTTCCAGAATATCTTTTCCAAATAACTTTTCGAGAAATACCAAATATTTTTTATTGACCTGGTTTCCTCCGAAATCTCCACCGCTGGCTTTGTATAGTTCCCGAAGTCCTCCTCCTTCAAGCAAATGGTGAAGAGTTATGTCAACTGTACCACCTATAAAGAAAATATTTAAAATGAAATGCGAGCAGTAATGCTAACAATAAACAAAATTATTTTCAACTTTAACAAATAAAGAAGAAAAATTGTAAAAATCATTATTTCTATGAACTATTGAAAATAATTTTAGAGTATTTGTCTATTTTTTCTAGATAAAATATAGTTTTTATTACCTCCCATATCTACAACGAGATATGTTGAATTGTCTTCGAGAGGTTGGAGAGTTTTCTGTCCGGCTCCAATTCTGTCATTTGATAAAACATACGCTCCTTTTTCGCGACATAACACACTGGCTGCTTCTGGTTCTAGTGCAATAGATAGTTGATTGGCGGGTATACCGGCCTATTGAATTTACTATGAATCATTCTTCACAAAAAACAAAAATTATCTCAACAACATGAGGATAACACATTTAAAGTTTAACAATAATATGTGAAATGGAAACTCATAACATACCTTTTCAGCCGCCTCTCGCATGAAGCATTTAGCTCTCAGACTCCAAATGGCTGGCACAGTTAATACCCAAAATATTTCTTTTTTCTCAATAAATGATGATCCAAAATGATGGGTCAAGTTTGACATTAGATGATTTGAGAAGAACTCAATTACACTTGAGAAAACGATGATAGCTGGTAAAGTTTTCCGACCCGTAATATCTGGAATTTGCGTATTCAGTGATAAGTCCTAGAAAAGAAAAGCATATTTGCATTTAACAATAACATAAGGACTGCACATCTGGATTTTATAATTCAATATTAATTGTTGTATACAATTTGCAGCGAATGTTTCTAAAAAGACAGCATTTTAATACTGTTTCAAAATGTGAAAATTACAAAAAAGGGATTAGACAACTATTTCATGGAAAATTTTGCTAGCTACACCTGTTTTGAAATTTAGATCTTTTGTTCTTTTCACATAAAAAAATAACTTAATTCACACAAATATCATTTACACTCTACTCTGTAATTAAAACAATAATTAATATTAAACAAATACCTTTCTTTGATAAAGCAGCATTTTGAAATCCTGAAAAAAATAAAACTTCTCGAGATCCTCATCATTTGGATTATCTTGCATGTATGTATTGGCTTCGTATCCAAACTTGAGGAATGATCCATCTGGTCCAAACAAAACTGCTGTAGGTACTCTGTTTGACATTGTTCCATTGCCAGGCCACCTTGGTGAATGAATTGGTGAATAAATTGGGGGTTCTGAATAGCTCGAACTGTTCGAATCCTTTGTAAACATGTACGCATATCCGCTGTATGTAGTACCAAAGTCTATGGCAGCCACTACAGAATAACTGTCTCCCCGTGATGTCTGAAAAATATAAGAAGATCGTTTCATATATTTATCATTTTCCTGTCAAATTTTGATATTATATATTGCTACATGTATAATATCATATATCTAGCCGTGGAAAAATTCACTCTTACACTTGCATGTTACACTGTGCTATGGGTATAATATTTATAACCGTAACAATTGATTGTGTTACAGAGCTCCTAAGGAGTTAAAGCCCCTCCCCCCGAAAAAAATAGAGACAAATTATGTCATCCAAAATAATGGAACAGAATGAACTAAATGTGCTAATAATTTAAAAAAAAAGGTGGAGTAGTCTCCTCTATTTCGCGATGTTCCATACATGTTTTAGTCCTTGAATGCTATTCAATCGTCATCAACGATTGCTCATTTTTCCGTGAATTTAGTAAGATCCTCTATGTACATTTATAATGATAGCTGCATTATGTGAACAAAGGTTTTTAATTGTAGAAGGTACTTATATTCGTAGTGAAAGAGTTTAATTTTTAAACCGATGATTAAGTGTTGATTATTTTTAATTATACATGCATAACTTACATCTACATGAACATGTTTGATTTCGTCATAAACATGAGAGCTGCCACCTGGATTTTCACGCTGTAGCAGAAGAAAAGTAACATTAGTCAGATCTCCACCTCTGTCCGACTGTATGTCTCTGTCTGTTTAGTTGTATAAAGGCAGCTTTGATATAATTGAAATAATTCGATTATTTTATGCTTAATCAACACTTATCAATGAAGATTGGTTCACGTTTATAAATTTAATAGAAACCTACATTTGAATATAAAAAACAAAGAATTTGGAAAAAAGTCTGTAAATCAGATGTTGGAAATCTGTAACTATTATATGTGTACATACTTTACCAAAAGAAAGTATGAAACTTCAGAAAATAAAACACTTCATATTTTGATCATAGTTTAATGATATAAATATAGGATCACCCATGGTTTGTAGCTGGATATGAGTTTTATCCAAGGAGTTGTGTGTTTTTTATCCCCGAGCCTTGGATAGGGGATAAAAACACACAACGAGTTGGATAAAAGTAAAATCCACCCACAAATAATTGGAGATTCTGTTTATCCCATGTTTACATGTAATACTTCACAACTAATATTTTACACTGATTTCTAATAGGACTCTTCTTTATTTTACTTCAACACGCTAACACAAAAGACATTGTGACGTCATAACTGCACTGAAATGTGGGATATTTAAGGGATGTTTTTAAGTTTTGTGTGAGTTATTGGTGTGTGAATCACACAGACTTGTCACGTAGGCATATTTCATGAAGCGCTAGCGTTTCATGAAAAATATGCCTACGTGCAAGTCTATGTAATTCACACACTAATAATTCACACTAAACTGAAAAACATTCCTTATATTAACATTTTACATGTTTGGAAGCAACTAAAATATACTCAATATTTTAATTTCTCGCTGTCCTATTTCGCTGCATTTTTACTAACGTCGCTGTAGCCTCATTGTGACGTCACGTTAAGGCACGTTTCTCCGTGTATATTTCTACGCGTGAGTCTACACAAAAATGACTTTAAAAACAATTTCACAGTTGGCTTAGTAGAAGAACACAGCGAATGTAAAAATATAAAAAATATCCAGTGAGTCATATCAAAGGGACAAAGGGGGTAAACATGGGATAAATTATGTTTTTTAAAGTTTGCAAGTTTGATATGCATTTTTGATTAGAAAAGCAGATGTCTTAGAGATTTCTCACCGACCAGGCTACAGAAATTCGATTTGTACCGCAAAATGAAATGTGAAAAGTACATAATGAAAGGGAAACATGTATAAAACCCTAGCATGTCGTTCCTTTTTAAACATTGTGATGAAAGATCATTGAAAACAAAGAAGCTGAAAATACATCAATTACATGCATTACAGAAAAAAATGACACTTCGAAAACTGGGAATTCGCCGCCTCCAACCGAAGACGGCTTCTCAGATTGATTCTAGATATTTGCGAACCGAATTGAATGTAAAACTAACAAGTTATCAATAGCAAATACTTTTATTAATCACAAATATCGTTTTAATGGTTCATTGATAAAATGTACAATCAGATGAAAAAACGAGATTTGTCTTGATTTCGTGCTTTTTAAAATCTTGCAAGTTCTGTATCGAAATGTAGAGTGTCGTTTTCTTTTCATCAATATTAATGAGTACTTAAAACAATGTGCTATTGATTCATCTCGATCGGTTCGCATGCATTGAAAAATCAACTCTGCTTGGAGACGGCCAAATTTCTAGTTTTTGTAATGGCAATACTAATGTCGCCGGTTCTGACGTTTTCCGCGAACGTAAAATATCAAAATACTAAAAAAGCCTGAAAAACGTCGGATTTCTTTTTAGCCATAATTTTGGATGTCTATTGTTTGAGAAAAGGGTAATATTTGTCAAAGTAACAATTTTCTTAATTTTTTTTTTTTAAATAATTGATTATTAATTAAGCAGAATGATTTTTTCTGGTGCATTTGAGAAGAAATTAGTTCAAACTGTTTTCAAGTGTTTCAGCTAGGGAGAAAAGGAGGGGTGCTGCGCCCCGCCCTCTAATCAGCGCGCCCCTTTGCCTCTGACAAGCACCCCTGTGTCCCTTGTGATTGACCAATATCATTTTAACTGTCCTTTTAACTCATTAGAATAATTAGTGTGTTCCAAGGCAGAGTACTTAAGGCTAATTAATAGTTCACACCTCCTTTCATAGACGATTATTACGTAATGAACTCGCATTACGATACCTGTATATACAGTACATGTGTCCACTATCAATTACAGGTGATTTGGTAATTGCTTTGATCAATTGACAGTCTGAATTAGGGTTAAAAGCTGAAATACTCTTACCTGGTAAAGAATGTCGAAGTTAACTCTTGTAATCTAAAACAAGAGTTTTGTCCTATAGAGTTCCAAAAATAAATCAGAAAGTGACAGAAGCATGAAAAATGACCTTCAATATTCAAATATAAATTGTTGATTTCTTTTCTGAAAATGATTGAATTTAACATCTTAATAGCAAAGGAACATGTAAAAATAATTTTTTACACTCTTGAAGATATTTCACAGATATAATAAATGTAGTTGTTTTCATTTCATTACAGACGTTTCAAATCTTAATTATCTGTCACTTACATTATTCAAAGATAAATCAAACAAGAGATATTGACATTTAATTGTTATTTTGATAACAACTGAATAAATACTATTATGCCTTCCATATAATAATAGTGCAAATTTAAAACCAAGTTTCCCGCAGCTCTGTTATTTTTCAGATTGAATGAAAACCAAGAATGAGTATTGTTGTAAATATGTCATTTATTAATGACACAAATGAAACACATGAAATTTGGGAGATCCTATGACTTTCTACAATTTGTATCTACACCTTGTTATGGATCTCCCAAAGCTTAAAATAACATCATGACAATACTCAAAAAACGCAAATATATCAAACATTTAAGCTGAAAAATAAGGTGGCAACAAACAATAGGCCACCAAAAATCCAACTACATTGGATTTTCCGCCACCCAAGGGAAACAACCCACGTACATGGACAACATAGGAGAAAAACCTTAATAATCTTAATATATATGTTAAAGAAAAGATTCTCGCTCTGAATAATAAATGATGGCCAGCAACCCCTGTAACTTACCACATTTTGATTGCATTTATATAAATCATGATAAATGATAAACAATATTTCTAGTACAAAGGTTTAAAATATTTGTATTTATGTAATAAAACAACATATCAGCAATGGTTAATTACAATTAATTAATAACATTGCAAACAGTAAATTAGTCTATACAAATGATTTGCAGTAAACATTCCAAATGCCCGAGTCCTTTATTTCATGCTCCAATTTGTTATTTACTCTCTAATCATCCATTGCAGATGACTGAAAGTAACTCAATGGTAATAAATTGTAGGGGGAAGGGGATGACAGACCCCATCTGAACCATCTTAATCTGACCTAAGGACAACCTTCATGAACATGTCAGACATAATCTGACCCATTTACAGCTTATCTTGGGACAACTTACACGAACATGTAAGACATAAACTGACCCATTTACAGCTTATCTAGGGACAACCTACATGAACATGTCAGACATAATCTGACCCATTTACAGCTTATCTGGGGACAACCTACATGAACATGTCAGACATAATCTGACCCATTTACAGCTTATCTGGGGACAACCTACATGAACATGTCAGACATAATCTGACCCATTTACAGCTTATCTGGGGAAACCTACAAGACCACAACCAGCATAATCTGACCCATTGAAAGCTTATCTTAGGACAACAGGTATACCTACATGAACCTGACAGGCATAATCTGACCCATTTATAGTTAATTAAGGGACAGCCTACATGAAGATGACAAGATTAATTTAACTCATACAAAATTGATTGCAGGACGACCTTTATAAGCAGATGTTTTGTGCTGTACTGTTATCATTAGGAGAGGGTGGTAGACTATACCTTATCAATTCAATGAATTGTGGACAAAAAAAAAACAAAAAAAAAACCAAACTACTGGAGAGAAAGAGTAAAGGATCCTGCACTTAAATATCTCTTGACTGCATCAGATTTCCATCTACCCATACGTTGAATTGCATTTTTCGAGGAACCCAACCTAGCTGCATGAGTTGCTGCCCCAATACAAAAAGCATAACCTTTGTAAATTTTTTATTCAAACCCATGAATGTAATACTTGCACCTAAATGTTTTGAAACAAATGACTGTGAAACTGGAGTGCCATCAATAAATTAAAAAAGGGGTCCCCTTTGAATGTTTAAATTGGCACATTTTCTCAAAAAGGGGAAACACAGGACAGAGATCTTTTTCGGACTGGGCCTCTAGGTAGATGGTAACTGACTGACCAGATTGCTAGTTTTTGTGTGTGACATTTTCAATTTTCCTTTCCCAATTTCAAAATGTATGTTTGACCTTAAAAACACTTGATTCATAGATTGCAGTGTCCTGACAAATAATTCTCCCAATCTATGCTCTTAAAAGAATTCGGTTATTCCAAGTAGAGCTTGCAAGACGTATAGCTTCCATAACTTTTGTAGGAATTTCCTTGGAATTTCCCTCGTTATTTGGAGTCTTGAGGCTGTTATTTGGCATGATTTTGGACACCTTTTTAACAATTTCTGAACCAAAAAAATATTCTTAGATGGATGGGTCTGGCAAATTCAAAATTTTTTGAAAAATTAAAAGGCCGAAACATGTGATGCCAATGTGCTTGGTGAATAATGTTCGAGTATGGTTAGCTCTAAAGTGAATATTGCGCTGTATTGCCACTAGTTCCAGCCGACATAATAATTTCATGAGGTTATGTTCACCAGATGATTTTTTTATTTATGACCTCTACTACTGCCTTATTGTCAAATAAGAAAAGTCTTTTTTTCTTTGTTTTTTGTTTTGAAGCTTGTGCCCACATAACTCTAAATGCAATAACAATTGGAAAAAGTTCTTTGATGCATATTTGACATTGTATAAGGGCATCAGGTCATCTATCCGCAAACCATTTTGAACCCAAAACTACAGCAAAACTGTGTGACCCTGCGGCATCAGTTTGCAAATTTAGATATTCTGAGGACATCAATTCTTTATTCAGGAAGACAGATTTTCCATGAAAATGATTTATGGTATATGACCAGGAAATATGACCAGGTAGCTAAGTCAGCTCTCGCTTCCCCTCTATCTTAGCATATCGTTTAAAATCATCAAAACAACAAGTGAGATTGATTAAACGCCTTAAAAAGGCTCTACCAGGTACTACTAGCTACCCCACATGCGAAGTAAAGAAGACTCATGTTCTGACTGTAATTCTTTCAATGAGACCTTTTTGCACTTTTTAAAATTTTTTCATATGGATGTCTGTATTTCATTATTCCAATATCTACTTCTAAACAATAGATAATTATTTTAGGTGTAGGTGTCTGTGTTTATTGCATCTTAAAAGGAGCCCCAATTTGCCTACATGAGAATAAATACTGGCTAGAACATACCTACACTTTGATGAATTTGGTGGGCCCACAAAAAAAAAATCGTCGAGGATATGAGAGACCCCTGCTGCTTTAAAAATATTTCCATTGTCCACTGTAGTGCATAACTTAATGCTTCAAAATATGACAACTGCTACTTGCTTCCATTGGTTACCATATATCATAATATTAAAAAATGAATTTTCCCAATGAAAACCTAATAGACGGTGATCTAGAGGGTGAATTGGAACTATTCTATAGGCCTTTTTGATGTCAGACTTTGCTCTTAAAATATATTGACCAAATTTTTTAACCAAACTTCCAACATTAACAATCCAATCACAGTGTACAGCAGAGAACTCTTTTGGATGTTGGCATTCACAGACTGGTCTTTTGGAAAAAACAGGTCATGAATTATTCCGAAATTATTTGAATTACCTTTTGACACTAAGTTAAGGGCCGCAGTAGGGGTGATACAACAAAGTGATCTAATGGGGGTGCAGGTAATGGTCCATCAATTCCCTTTTGCAGACCTGTTTCTATGTGATCATTGATAATATTTGGGTGCTCCCTTGCTGATTTATGATTACTCAGCATATTGGATATGATGGGGTCTGCAACACAACCCAAGCGAAAATCCTATTTAAAACCCTGCACTAATTAAGTTGAAAGAGATCTATCATAATGAACTATAAATTCACTTAATTCATTTGGGTTGACTGGTGTTGGAAGTCGAAGACCCCCCAAGATACTGGATCCTCTCGTTGCTGCAGCAGCACACGCAAATCTAAATACTGATCTTCCCAGATTTTTTGTTTTATGCGTTGTGCTACTGTTGCACCGAGCGGAATCCCATCAATGTCGATATGCTATTTTTGGGGTTGCTGGCTCGCCTGAACTTAATAACTGATTGAGTATTTCTGATATGTTGCTTGTAGCATCTTAAGGGGGTTCCGCCACTACCTTGTTACTTTAGAATTTTGTCTGCTTGTTTTCATTATCAATCTGCACGGATGGATACTCCACCAGTTTTGACACTTCACTCTGATTTTTTTAGACTCTTTCATCTTCTCCAGGTTTCGTCTGTGGCTGGCCGTCTCTTTGGCATGATTGAAGCTGAAAGAATTCTATCTAGAATATAATTTATGACTTTATATTTTAAGCGATCTACTTCATGTATTTTCTGCTGTTATGATGAAAGGTATCACCAACATTTTAGGTAATGACCTTTCATAACTGCATACTTTGATAATAAAATGATGAAGATTTCAACAACAGTGGCTTCATAACTGTTACATTTTACTGATAAATCAAGTCTTTATAAAAGAAAAAAAAACCATGCCTTGCTTTTGATCTTGTATTGAATAGATATCAGTTTAGTTATACCTTGAGACAGCCTCATGAATTACCCAGTACTCACTGAGAACCAACTTTGATACAGCAACATGGAAAACTTTGACATCATGTATACTGCAAGTTCACATAGCGAACTAATAACTTTAATACAGCAACATGGAAAACTTTGACATCATGTATGCTGCTAGTTTACATTGCGAACCAATAACTTTGAGACAGTAACATGGAAAACTTTGACATCATGTATACTGTTAGTTCACATTGCAAACCAATAACTTTGAGACAGTAACATGGAAAACTTTGACATCATGTATACTGTTAGTTCAAATTGCGAACCAATAACTTTGATACAGCAACATGGAAAACTTTGACATCATGTATACTGCTAGTTCACATTGCAAACCAATAACTTTGAGACAGTAACATGGAAAACTTTGACATCATGCGTACTGCTAGTTCACATTGCAAACCAATAATTAACTTTGATACAGCAACATGGAAAACTTTGACATCATGTATGCTGCTAGTTTACATTGCGAACCAATAACTTTGAGACAGTAACATGGAAAACTTTGACATCATGTATACTGCTAGTTCACATTGCAAACCAATAACTTTGAGACTGTAACATGGAAAACTTTGACACCATGTATACTGCTAGTTCACATTGCAAACCAATAACTTTAATACAGCATAAATTAACATGGAAAATTTTGACATATGTATACTGTAAGTTTACCCTGCA